CCTTTGTCAAGATCGACGTCACAACATTCCGATGCTCCACTTTTACCTGGTAACGTCGAGCCTGGGGCGAGATTCGGAGGGTTCGGATTCGGGAAACAAGGAGAGAAACAAGCTGCCGAAAGAGGTTTCAAGATTTCTCGTCCTCTTGAAAGTTTACCGAGTGAGTCTTCGATCCTTCTGAAAAGCTGTGCGATGGGTTGACGTCTTCAGGATACGTAGTGTAGACGTCATACTTCCCACAGATGGAAAAGCAGATTGACCAAAAGTGGAAGGCGTCGGTATTTGACGTCAGGAGTGGGGAAAGATGATTGACGTATACTTTCCTTACCTTTCATTCCTTTCCTTTTCTAACCATTTGAGTTCTCATGGTCCAGTCGTGGATTCGCTTCGTCTTCGATGCTGCTCACACTACTTAAGCCGGCCTGCTGACTCTTTCTCATCCCCGCAACAGTAGCGTAAGAACGTTTCTGATCCCTTCACTTAGTCATGACCTCCGCCGACCTTCATACTCATCTGCTGCCTAGGGAGCCATTCGCGTTTGACACCTCCGATTGGGAACGTGAGACCAAGAAAACCATCATTGGGCCCTCATTGTGAGTTTGACAAGTTTGTGAGTGCCGGTGGCCTCGACACCGTACTTTCCAATCGTAAAGTACTCGACTTGGTGCCGGAAGTATGCGGAAAGATCGGGGTCATGAGAATGTGGTCATGCTGACAAGAAGTACGATTGGGACGGTGAAGAGTTGAGATTCACTATCGACGAAGATCCAAATATGGAGGATGTCAGGATCACGGGTATCTATAGACGGGTTCCTCAAGAGTCATACACAGAAGTCTTACTTCACCTACCCGTTCCCGTACTCCGCCTGCCCGTTCCTGTCCCCGTCTCACTAATCCTGCTACGGCGTCCTCCGTTCTCCTGTCCTACCTAATCGTTACTTCTTTACCATGCTATACTTTTCCTTCATCTCCGTGTCCCTCATCTATCTCCGTCTTCCTTCGCTCTTACACCCCATATCGCTTTCCACATTTACTCCATAGATTCGGTATCACTCCGCTCCCTTTTTAGTATATAGAAACACCCCTTTTTCGTAGATGTCTTGTCGAATGTGTTTTCTCGTCACTTAGCAAATCTTTTGCCACTTGATCTCATCGACTTATAGTCTCTTCGATCCACTACATCACTAGATTATAAACTACATCACTAGGTTTGTTCCCTACGAGGCCCTATAGCCAAAGCTCATAGACGCAGACTATTTTCAACGTCTGGTCCTGACAGTACGATGGAACGAGTTGAGACGATTTGAGTAAAGTTGACTGGACTTGAGTGGATGATATGCACGTGGTATTTACAGATTTTCAGGGTTATGACACTCATGTGGAATCTCATTCTCAACTTGTCAGTCCAGTCAGATCCAGCCTGACATCTTGCAGTTCTCTCAGCTCCCTCAGTTCTGTCACGAACTACATTGTGACACCCCAAATATCCCACCAACAACGACCCTCCTTTGACCATCAAACCCCTATCACGTTCTAATCTCTTCACTCTACACATAACTCAGGACATCTGAGACCAACTACGGTGAAGTACAGAGGGAGAATACGTGTACGGGCATCTGGGGCATAGGAATGGCAAAGTGCGGTGACGTTAGGCGGGGTTAGGTGAACTAGGGACAATGGGAGCAGAAGTAAGGCGAATTAGACGGAGTCAGGCCAACTGTTACGGGGTAACAACGAATCGAGAGAACTCTATCGAGTTCGACAGATTAGGATGGAGGAAAGCGGGAGTTGGAGGCAGTGCTGCAGTAGGTAGGGACGGGTTTTCCCCTTTTGAGATTTTCCCCACTGGGTTTGCTCAAAGCGGTTTTTCACCTGTCCAATTATGTACGTAGACGCTTGCAGCAGGAGGACAAGGACGAGGATATTCGTAGACAGTATATAGTACAATCAGCAAAGTACCAACTTTGCTGATTCTTCAATATCATTCTTTGGCTACATCGATTGCAGAGGAGACACGATTCATTAGCACCAGAGCCCCTAGATTTCCACGAGACATCCATCGAGTTCGACCCAACCTGCGACTTAGTCGTCGTGTTTCCAGTACCGTTACAAGTTGAAGAATCAGCCTTACGCACCTTGGGTCGAATCGGAGAGTACTGTATGCTGACCAGAGGGAAAGCGCGGAAAATGATACCAGAAAAAGAGGAGTTGGAACAAGGGCTGGTCCCAGAGGAAGAAATACCAACAAGTTCTTCGAGAAGTACCATTTCACATGATCTCACTTCTACCACCACTACCCCAGATCCGCTAAATGAATTATCGCAGCAGTTGTCACAATTGTTAGCCATTATGACGATGCAACAAAAGGAACAAAATGCATTAAGGGAAGAACTGGCTACGATGAAAGCTGACCGACAGAACCAACAGCTACTCACATCGAAAGGGGCAAGTTCGATCGAATTTGAAGAAAACAAGCCGTATTTGGAGCCAAAACTTACCAACAACGAACGAACAGGAAGAACCAGGTGTGCGGATCCACCTACCTTCAGTGGAGAACGAGGAGAATTGGACAACTTCCTTGCAGCATGCCACATGAACTTCGAATTCAAAGGGGCAGAGTACGCCACCGATCGCAGAAAGATCCTGTTCATGTACGGGTATCTTCGAGGCACTCCTCAAATGCTTCTAACCCCGGCCCTAACCAACCCAAGTATATGGAATTCGACCGAATGGCTAGAGAGCTACGACAAATTCATCCAGCATTTACGAACTCAATTTGGAGACAGTAACATGGCAGGTAGGGCTATGAGGAAATTGCAAGAGTTAAGACAGACTGATACAGCCGCCGAGTATTTTGCCAACTTTGAACTTTGGTCCACACACCTTGGAAAGGTACCAGATGCAATGAAAATCGCCTCAGCCATACAGGGCCTGAAGGAAGAGCTACTGAAGGTGGTAGTGGTAAATAACACCGACCCTCGAACCAAATCGGACTGGATCTATTTCAAACAGCATGTGATAGGGACTGAGGAGAACCAACGGATGGCTGAAACAATGATTGCAGCGAATCGATGGGCTGCTAGACGCAAACATGAGACGACCTGGCTTCCCCCTCGATCGAATTCGATGCGATTGGATACTAGTCCGCCCAACCCGGTAGAACACCACTCACAATCGACCGGTAGAGGACCCTTGCCCGGTGGAAAGCCAGGGATGATGAATTATGGTCTACCAAATGACCCTCCGGTCACTTGGACAGAGGACGGAGGACGTCTCAGCGAGAACAAAATGACTTGGAGAAGGGAGAACCGACGTTGTCTCAAATGTAGAAGTCCAGAACATTACGCCAACAACTGTCCAAATGGAGGAAATACGAGGAACAACATTAGGGGATCCCCAAACCCGCATAGCTCACCAATTCCTAGTGGATCGAACTCGATTCCAACCGGATCCAAAGGGCCATTAGTTCGAGGAATGGCGGTGACCTTTGAAGAAGAGGGAAACGAATACCTGGCCTAAGTGATGCAACCACTTGCGGCCAGGATCTAACAGAATCGCACAAGATCCAACTACCAATAGATCTCAGTAATGACTCGGCTATAATATACATAAAAATACAGACAGAAAAAGATACCCTACGATTTGGAATGTTAATTGATACCGGAGCTACCGGAAGATACGTACAGCCGGCCTGTCCATTTGTCACGCCCGTCGAACAACTATCTTCTGGCAGACCGACGGTCGACGAACCTCGGCTAACTTGATGCTCCTGAGTTGAAGTCTCACCCAACCGAGAGGGCGCAGACGTCGAAAGGAGTGTAACTAGGGCGTACTTCGGCGTAGTTACTCTAACTGGGGTTTTGTTCTACTGATGGCGATGTATCTCGAATTGTATATAGCTATCTCTATCTGTCTTTCTCTACTGACAACAATCAAGGATCGCTGAAGAACTTCAGCGATCTTCTCAGCTAATATTATCTACTCCTCCTAGACGTTCATCCAACCCTCTCGCGCTTTGACGTACTTCAACGCACTTCGTCCAACTTCCCCGAGCCCTCGGCCATCCTCTTCCTCCTTCGACTAATTCCGCCTAACATCGCCGCACTTCTGCTCCCATTGTCCCTACTTAGCCTAGCTCCGTCTAACTTCGCCGTACTTCTGCTCCCATTGTCCCTACTTAGACTAACTCCGCCTAACATCGCCGCACTTCTGCTCCCATTGTCCCTACTTAGCCTAACTCCGTCTAACTTCGCCGTACTTCTGCTCCCATTGTTCCTACTTAGCCTAACTCCGTCTAACTTCGCCGTACTTGGTGTCAGAAGTCCTGAGTTACGTGTAGAGTAAAGAGGTTAAGGCGTGATGGGGTTTTGATGGCCAAAGGAGGGTCATTGTTGGTGGAGTAATCGAGGTGTCGCGACGTAGTTCGTGACAGTCGCCCCCTTCTTTAGCCGCGAACGTCCTCGTGAGCGATTACACCTCTGTCGTGTCAAGAGAACTTAGCAGCGTAGTACCCCCATTCTCTCCCTCCCCATGACCATCCTTCACCCTTCTGCTCTTTGCGCCGCACTTCGTAGTTGGGCCTCCTTTCACTCCAAAACCCGACAATGAGACTCCCCTAACTTCGTCGAGGTTTGCCGTAAGAAGCCCTGTGTCTTTTGTAGGTGAGACACGCTTCCTGAATGGCAGCCGAACAACACCGTTGTTTGTCGAAGTAACCCTCGCTTATATTGAGATGAGACACTATAGCGTGGGAATTTTGATCGTCCCTGCGATGCCTTTTGTTGATGAAACGCGAAGTTTGCTGCATGTTGACGACGAGGGGGTAGGTTTGATTATACTAAATACTGAGCAGTTCGTCGAGCTTCTCTCTTTTTCCCATCTGCTTTCAAAACTTTCTATCTCTCTTACCTGGAAAACAGATTTGTTACCTTGAATCATCGCCTCAAGTTTTATTCTCTTTTAAATATCTTAACGTCATGGCCCCTTCTACTCCTACACCCAGCCCTTTCGCCGCCATGAGGAACTTTGGTGGTATGGTGTCATCTGCTCGTGAGTTTTCGTCGATACTCACCCTACCTCGCCGAACTTGGCTGATGTTCAGTTTCTTTCGGCGACAGGTCTCGCCAAGTCTCCTCCCTCGGCCTCGGCACTCTCTCTCTGGGGGAGCCGTCTGGCGCTCCCGCGCCCCCTCGCTCCGCCTCTCCCTCCGCTGGTTCTCCCTCCCCCGTGTCTGGTTCTCCCGTCCCCGTAACGGGTTCTCCTGGAGGGCCTCCTCCTGCCGCCACTCCTCGCCGTAGGACGCCC